CTTAAAAAATGGCAGAGTTACCGATTTTTAAAGTAGAAAGTGCAAATCCAAAAAATTTTCAAAAATTCCAAATATATCAAAAACGGCTAAATTTAGGTATAGGAAAAGTTGATGAAAACTCCCTTAAAATAATCCGATTAATCCAAAAACGTAGTAAAAAATATACCTTTTCATTAAAAATAAGAAAGTTGAGACTGACTTCCGGTATAACCGGAAGTGTCGCCATTTTGAAAATATTTTCATTTGGGAGGATTTAATGGTTTAGGGCTATGTACCAATTTTCTAACACTTCTAATGTGGGGTTTAGACGGAACACACTGTATTCAACCATTACAGTCACATGCGCAGTAGGCTAGTTTGCGAACCGATGCGCAGTAGCATGTTCTACTGCGCATCCATATACAAAAGTTTGCGCAGCTATGCGCAGTAGCACAATTTGACCGTCCTACTGCGCATGTATTAGTCTAATATAGTTGGCTGTGGTTACAACTAGCGCCCTCACCTTCGCGTCAACGTACGAAATCATAAGTTGCTTGAAATGAAATGAAATGTCAAATGACACACACTGATCGTTTTAGATTAATTACAGAAAACTGTTTTACCAACCTGGTATCCGTCCGGTAACGGATCGTGGCGTACCGTCAGCGTGATTTTCTCCACGGGCTGTAATAACGTCATTACTGCCTCTTGATGTGTGGCGTGTGTGATGTCAATTCCGTTGACCTTCAAAATACGATCACCGACACGAAGTTTGCCACAATTGGCTGCCGTACCGCCAGGTACCAACTGTTCAAATAAAAAAATAAAATCACGCTAGCGTTATAATAATAATAATAATACTCACGTGCGAGATGAAAATTCCCGGTTCTTTGACACCAAATGGAATACTGGAATGGTCAGTACCGCCGATAATACTGAATCCTAGTGAGCCATGGGCTTTGCTCAAGGTCACGTCCTGAAGATAAATGACAATTAGACAAGTTGATTTTTGTGAAAAGTGAATTTTTCTAATAGAGAAGCCGGAAAAAAAAGGGTAGAGTAGGGGGAGAAGGGGTGGGGGTGATTTACCTGAATCCTGATCGGTCACTACTAGGTTTGTGCCCAAGATTTGTCTATTGGAGACTATAACTAGATCGTAGCTAGCTTATAACTACTTATAACTAATGTGTTTAGTCTGCGGTCAGGTTCGTTATTAGTTAGTAATGAGAGTGTTTAGTTTGCGGTCCGTTTGATTAATCAGAAATTAGTTTTCAATATTAATTAAGTTGTTATTTTGTGTTAACGTGAAATTTTAGTAAAAAAAAACATTTTTTTTGCAATTATCAAAATGATAAATATTGTCAAGGTCACTTGTTTTATTTCATATTTCTCAACTTAAAAAATGTTTAATTGATATGAAAGTTGACAAAGGAGTTAAAATGCTCGATGATGAGTAAAGTTAGAGAAAATGAGCCATTTTCAACGTTTCCGGGTGATGACCTTGAAATAATAAATGATATTTCAGGTGCTTGGATCACTCCTAACGCCCCGGAATTAACGAAATGTTATGTAAAATCATCCGGGGAATTCGCCTATGCAAACCGTTTGGACCCAGCACCGGTAGTTTGTGAGTTATGATTTTTTTTATTTCAAAAAGTCAAAAAATTTTAAACGGCTCCGTGACCGAAACTATATCTTGGTCGCTATGAAATAGGCAATTATTAGCAAATTTTCGATAAAAATATAATTAGTTTTAAAAAACTGAAAAAAAAAAACGAAATTTTCAATGTATGATATATCCGAAAATTCTAAAAATGTGGTGGTTTTGATATAAAGTCTTGCCCCGAATACTATGCAATCACCTAGAATGCTCTACGACGAGTAGTGTTCAAGATATTGAGTCATTTTCAACATTTCTGGCAATGACCTTGAAATAATAGATCGTTATTCCGGGCGTTTGGGATCAGTTTTCGCCCCGAAATCAACGAAATATTATGTAAAATCGTCCGGAAAATTCGAATGTGTTAATGGTTTTGACCTACCACCGGTAGTTTTTGAGTTATTACTTTTTTATAAAAAAAGTCGAAAAATGTCAAACGCCTTCGATAGGCTCCGGGTATTCGCTACTGGGTAGATAATCAGGAGCAAATTCCGATAGTTTTTTTTACTTTTTTCGTGGGACTTAGTTTCCAAAAAAAAAAAAAAAAACGTTTAAAGTTTTAAAAAATCGACAAAAAACAATTAAAATCCTAAAAATTAAGTTATTGACATAAAATCACACCCTGAGCACTAAACAACACCTTAAAATGCTCTATGATAAGTAATGTTTCAGAAATTGGGCTATTTGGAGCGTTTCCGGACAATGACCTTGAAACAAAAGATCGCTTTATCGGATGTTTAACATTACTTAATGCTCCGGAATAAAGGAAATTTTGTGTAAAATGCTCCGGAGAATTCGCCTGTACAAACCGTTTTGAGCTACAATTAGTAGTTTTCGAGTTACGACTTTTTTATTTTAAAAAGTCAAAAAACTTCAAACACCTCTCTGGCCAAAATTATACATCCGATCAACTCCGGGTTTTCACTGTTAGATAAACAATTACGAGTAAATTGTACCAGTAGATATAATTTTCGAAAAAAACTGAGTTTAAAATTGTGACCTTGAAATTAAATTGATCTTTTTGTGGTTGGGATTACTTTTAACGCCCCGGAATCAATGAAATATTATGTAGAATCGTCCGGGGAATTCGACTATGCGACCGGTTTTGTTCTAGCGCCGGTAGTTTTCGAGTTATGATTTTTTATTTTAAAATGTCATTTTTTTTCATTTTGAAAAAATAATTACGAACAAATTCTGCTGTTTTCTTATTTTTTTACCACCGGTAGTTTTTGAGTTATCATTATCTACTTTTATAAAGTCGAAAAATGTCAAACGCCTTCGATAGACTCCGGGTTTTCGCTTTTGGGTAGATAATCACGAGCTTTGTTCTAGTGGGACTTTAAAAACCCTAAAAACAAAGTGGTATTGCATAAAATCACACCCTAAACACTAAACAATCACTTAAAATGCTCTACGACAAGTAATGTCCACGAAACTGGGCTATTTGGAGCGTTTCTGGGCAATGACCTTGAAACAACAGATCGGTTTTTCGGATGTTTGAGATTACTCAATGCTCCGGAATAAACAAAATTTTTTGTAAAATAGTCCGACAAATTCGCCTGTGCAAACCATTTTAACCTACTATTAGTACTTTTCGAGTTATAATTGTTTTATTTTAAAAAGTCAAAAAATTTCAAACACCACTCTGGCCAAAACTATGCATCCGATCAACTCCGGGTTTTCGCTGTTAGGTAAACAAATACAAGTAAATTGTAGTAGTGGGTATAGTTTTTAAAAAAACTGAGTTTAAAATTGTGACCTTGAAATATTAAATTGATCTTTTTGTGGTTGGGATTACTTTTAACGCCCCGGAATCAATGAAATATTATGTAAAATCGTCCGGGGAATTCGACTGTGCAAACGGTTTTGTTCTAGCGGCGGTAGTTTTCGAGTTAT